GTATTAAGTTACTGAATTGTGTATGCCTTTAGCTGATAAAAAGTTCCTCTGGGGGAAAGAAGTTACCTTTTGTTACCAAGCTGGGTGTTTTGGCTGTCCTGCTAAGCAGGTGTGAGTGGTGGAATTTTTTTCCCTCACTTATACATAAAGACTACTGAATTATTGTGCTTTCCAAATCCATAAGTGGGGTAAAAAGCTGAATGTAGCTACAAATTACTATTTCAGGTAAAAATAACCAAGAAAGATGTGCAGTAAAATAGCCTTACCTGCAACAATCCCAAACTTGTAATCCTTGATGTATAAAAGAATGAAAATCAGGGGCACTACTGCCTTAATTTTACAACTCTAGTCTTCTATTCCTTTATGTTCCTCCCCATCTAGCAATCTTTCTCTCTCTTATTATTGCAGTTGCTCTCAAAAGATCATTAAACTCATAAGCCTTTAATGGCTAAATACCAGCCATTGCAGAGAAATAGCAAAAGATGAAAGGCTGGAGAAGAATTGAGGAAACTTCTAATATTAACAAACATTGCTTCCCAAAGGGGAGAACAATACAAAGGGCTTTAATGGATAAAAACCTAGAGCACAGTCTTGACTTGGTCTAAATCTGTGTATTTAGATCCAGAATCACTGAGGTCAGAGCACACTTGTCTGGGGGCAGTTACAAGTACATAAAGGCTGACAACAGTGTTAGTGATAAACAGCAGTGGGTTTATGAAACAGGAGTACAGCAGACAATAACCTTTCTTGATGCAATTAGATAATTAGTGGGCAAAAGGAATGCAGTGAATAGACTGACTCTGGACCATGCAAGGGCTTTTGACACAAAGCTGTGGAAAATCTTATTAGGGAAATTAGATCAAATTGGTTTTGATACAAATCCTGTGAAATGAATCATGGATTAAATGACAGAGTGTAAACAGAAGGGTTAGAAATATTATTTATCCTTCTGCAAAGATGATGTCCAAAAGGACAGTGCTTTGACTGTAAATACTCATTAGTGACCTGGAAGAAACATAAAAGTGATCACTCTCAAATTTCATGTTGACAGAACCAAAAAAAAAAAAAAAAAAAAAAAATTGGCATAGAGAAAAGAGCCAGGCTGAAAAATGAGCGTTGTGAATGGGCTTTGGTAAAACAAGTGATAATTAGCACTGTGTAGTTCAAAGATGATACTGGATCTACTTTGGAACAAGGAGAATCTCCAAATTTCATGTTGTGCAGAGCACGGTGGCCAAAGCAGCTTATATTCAGAGAGGTCCCAGTGAGACAGGCTATCAAATTGTGTGAGCTGATGTGCAACCTGATGTCTGGCAAAGCTACTGCTCAGTTGGTCCATCCATCCTCCTGGCTGTGTGCTTTCCAGAGTGACTGTAGTGCTGCAGCGTTGCACTGTGCAGTTCAGGGCACCTTGGTGCAACAGAGACCCAGGGAAGTTGGAACAAATCCAGAGAAGGACCACAAAGATGCTAAAGGGATTAGAAGGAATGACCTATGATGAGGAAAGGTGAAAAGAACGAAATGTTTAGAACCTCTAAGCCTGTTACATGGGCACAGAAATAGTAACGGAGTTTCCTGTGCCAGCACAGAAGAGGGTTGGATCAAGTCTCTCTCCTTTTACATTCCTATTAAGGTAACTAGAGCCAAGCAAAATGGCTGTTCATCACTTTGAACTCTGCAAAAAACATTTAGCTGTTCTTCTTGAAGTTCAAGATGTTGTATCTCATTGCCAGGGGACACTTTGACTGTTTAAAAAAAAACAAACAAACAAACAAACAAAAAAAAACCCAAAAAACGCACGGGATCTCCATGAGACTTGCAGAAAGTCAGAAAAGAAAAGCACATGCTCTGGAATGGCTGGAGTCACCTTAGATGTAATCTTTGATCTATCTTGGTGTTAAAGGCTTTAGCTCTCAAGCATGCATTCACATCCAACCAGAACTTGCTATGTACTGCTGCCTGCTGGGGGGAACAGGAGGGTCCTCAGCTGTAAGGATATAGGGGGCTTGTTTCTTGATTCACCATCAAACACTCACAGTTTGCATGCCTTGGGGGAAGAAGGCTCCTTATTTCCCCAGGCTTTTTTGTTTGTTTGTTTGTTTGAGTTTTTGGTTGGGTTTTTTTGTTGTTTTCTCTCCACTGAAGGAAAATACCTTGGTAAGCGCTCTTGAGGCGATCTGTGAATGTTGAGCTATATAAGTAACAGAAGTTGGAATTTAGCATTCCTGTTTCATAGTGTTTTCCTCTGTCTGCCTTGAAAATTACAACTCCAGCTCCTCTTACAGTAGAGTTCCACTGTGCAGAATAGTGTTTTATGGTTATTTTGCTTTCCATTTTAAACTTGATCTCACGTTGCTGTGGCCAGTGATCTTCACTTCTTTACTACAGATGCACTTCTCGGGTAGGGAGGGGTTCCAGAACCCACACAGCAGATTTCAGCTTTGCTGTGAGATGTTAAGATCTAGGCTCAGCTAGCAAAGTTTCATCTTCCTTCCAATGGTCAGCTGTTGTTACACCAAATCTGCAATATGTCTAGGTGCCCTGTGGGAATAGAGAAGGATGCACCTGCAGCGATTTCTCTAACTGCTCCATGACCTCTAGTTCATTGTGGCCCTCTGGGCAAAGCATGGGCATTTATCAACTCATCACACTGTCTCTGAGAGGGCCCAAACCCTGGATTCCTCTCAAGTAACACCAGGCAAAGCAGCTGAGGAACGTGAGATGCCTGCCCATATTCTCAAGGTCAACAGTCTTGCCAAAAAACAAACTTGGCTGATCGATCCCAGAGATAGGAGATGAGGTCAAACTTTGAGGATGAAACAGAGAAGGGAAAATTAGGAGATACTTAGGTCAAATGAGATCATAAGGATGCAGGACTGTGAATTTGCAGCATATCAAACATCAATATTCCTATCATCAGACTCACAGGTGTGATACATACAAGTGTGCACTCCAGCCTTGCTGATTCACAGAATGTTTTGTCCTGTCCCTTGATGGATTTAACTTGGCAGAAGGAGTTGCCACAAATACCAGGTAAATAAGCTGAAACCGAAATAGAAATTACTCACATGACCATGGTGTGGTAACTTTTAACAAGCAGAGGTTCCAAGAAGAAAAGTCAAGCATCTCCAGTCAGTCAAAATTCTTTGCCATGTCATCAGGAAAATGCATGTTTAGTATTTCTTAAAGCCTTTGACAAATTGTCTTACTGAAGGGAAAATTTAACCTCTCAGGTTAATACTATTATCAATTAAACGGTGTCAAAGACCCTACTCAGAAAAGAAAGAGAAGTCAATTTTCAGCATGATAAAGGTTAACATGCATTACCCACAAAGATCAGTATTGTGGTGTTTGATCCATGTGTTAATGATCTAGGAAGTGGGTGAACAATGAGACTGCATATGAAATCAAATTACCAAGGAAGAGTGAAGAGCTCCAGAGGATCCTAGTAAAGCTGGGTGCATGGACTGCACAGCATAGTAGCAGATAAAATACACTGTTGAGTATTGCAAAACATTGCACACCAGAAGGATTAATTTGATTTTTCATACATCTTAATGGGTTCTAAATTTACTGTGACAACTCAGGAATAGGATCGAGTGTTGCAGTAAGTAACTTCCTGATACTATTTGTTGAAGAAATGGTAACAATTTTTATTTTCATTTAAAGAAATGGAAAAAAGCAAACAGTGCAAGGAGTTACATAATATGTAGACTGAAAATAACATTGAAAATATTGTAACATCACTAGGTAATTGATGGTGTGCCTTTGCCTTGACTACTGTCCAGACCTTCAGCTGGAGAAGTGATGGAGCAGTGCCAGTTTCATGCTGCTGAGGAGCTGGCTCATTGAACTCTGTTCTGGACTGAACAGAAATAGCCAGACTAGAGGAAGTTCAGAGATGGATGATGAAGCAGATAAGAGATCTGCAAAAACTTCTGCATGGAGAGCAATCATATAGATCATGAAGAGTTGAATGAGGAGATCATGGCAGAACTACATTTCCTGAGGAGGAGAGTCAGGAGATGTTCAGGGAGCCTGACAGGCTGCAAATATATTATAGACAAATAAAGCTGGGATTTGTTCATACACTGCACAAGTAATGCCTGAAACTCATTGCTGTAAATATAATAAAATTTAGCAGTCTACAAAAAAAAGACTGAACACTTTTATAAAGAATAAGACTATCTGTAACTAAAATAAATACAAAGGGCTTGAAAAGTTCTTTCCTGAACTGAAATGGTGAAGTTCTTTCCATAAACTTTAGAGTATAACCCTTCTTTAAGAAGTGGGAATTTGTGTGTCCACACAAAAGCTCAATACTAGTAAACAGAAGAAAAATTAAGATTTAAGATTGAGACAGAAGAAACTTTTGATCAGATGATTTTTCCTTCTGTTTCTAAGCTCCTCTTTTAGTGATGATAGTGCAGCAGGGCAGGGTAAAGGATGAGGTGGGGTGAGAGAAGGAGTCAAAGGATGAGGTGGGGTGAGAGAAGGAGTCAAACTTGAAAATTAATCAAAGACTTCTGTATTACAAATGAAAAAATGAAAATCCAATCTGAGCAGGTCCTTTCTGCAGAATATGCTACCTAACCTTTTGCATAAAGCTAAGACAGCCCATTCTCTATTAACCAAACATCTTTTACACCTGGTCTGCCACCGGCCAGCTTGTTTCTTTCTGTTGTCTCAGGGTAGATGGTGCTCTGGGTGGATTGTGCCCCTCAGGCTCTCATGCCCCTTCCCAGCATTGCAGCCTGTGAACAGCCTGAAATTATGATCTACACGAAGAGCTTTGTCTTTACTCTAGTGTGAGTCTGTGGGGAGCAGGTGGGCTGGTCTTAGTCAATTGTACCAATATTCCTTGAGAAGAACGTGCATGGGGTTGAACTGCCTGAGCTAAGTGGAGTTGGACTGAGGTGGCAAAAGGAGGCCTCTCTTTCACTAAACCTGGAGCCAGGTCTGGCCAGGCGGTTGCTGAGTCCTTTGCTCTCTCCCTGCAGGCTGCTCGGCAGAATGGCCACGGAGGAGCGGCACCTCTCCTCCAGCTGTGGGTCCTTCATCAAGACCGAGCCCTCCAGCCCATCCTCTGGCATCGACGCCATCAGCCACCACAGCCCAAGCGGCTCCTCTGACGCTAGCGGTGGCTACGGCATCGCCATGGGTGGCCACCCCAATGGCCTAGACTCGCCACCCATGTTCAATGGCACGGGGATTGGCGGCGGGTCCTGCCGTAAGCGTTACGATGACTGTGCCAGCGCCATCATGGAGGACTCACCCACCAAGTGCGAGTACATGCTCAATGCAATCCCCAAGCGGCTGTGCCTGGTGTGTGGGGACATTGCTTCGGGGTACCACTACGGCGTGGCTTCCTGTGAGGCATGTAAAGCCTTCTTCAAGAGGACTATTCAAGGTATGGTGGGAAGGAATGCAAACAGAGGCATTCACTCCATAGAAATAAAGGGACATGGCCCCACACATTGCTGAGACTGCAGTATCATATAAAAAGAGGAAAGGGAGAATGAATGTAATGCACCTAACTCCATCCTTCTGTATGCTTCCTCTCTCCTCCTGCTCAGTTCTGGTCCTTCCAAATCAACATGGACATGGAGTTAGGCTATGTGATGGTAGGAACCTTTCCCACGTTCCCTCCCTGACTGGCTACCATATTTGGGTATCTGGACTAGTGGATCTTCCTGCCTCTGCTAGTGGCATTGATACTATGAGAATGTGGCAGCTAGTGGAGTAAGGTCTGAAAAGGAAATTCTTTGCCTCCTAATGGTGTTTTAAGGCCCATTTGAATGCTTCTGCCAAGAGATGGAATTTATGCAGACATATCTGCACCTTGAGGTGAAAGCTCCAGCATTACAAGAGTAGAGAAATTCTACTGTCCTACCAGTCTTGATATGTAGCAATGAATTCCATACAAACCTCAGCACAAATCTGGACAGAGAACTTTTGTGATAGTCAGTCTTTTTCTCCTTTTCCAGTTTCACCACCTTTTTCATTAAGATGCAGGTTCTTTGAAGATAAAAAAGCCAGGCACTGAAGAAGATGAAGGTTTTGTTAGTCTCACTAAGGATGTGCAATTCCTCAGGAGATTTTGAAAACCTCAATGCATGCACATATAGATGAATTGCAGGATGTTACTCCTTCATGTACAATTCACAGATGAGGAGTATGGCTGTGTCCTGACTGCCAAAAATGCTTGCAGATGTGCACATGTGCAGCTGCAATATAATCAAAAGCAAGAGTGCATCCAAACAACTTCCAATATCCACGGATGCTTGGGTGTACTTATATACACATGCCCTGTCTGAGCAAACATGCCTGGACATAACAGATACTCCCTTTATTTCCTCCACTAACTGGAAAAAGGACAGGATCATTCATCCGCCAGTGGGAAGTGCATTGGGTTTGCCCAAGTATGGAATGCTGACTGAAGGCAGGTTAGCAGGCACCTGTGCGTGTATGAGGCTGTTGGCTGGGGTTGGTCCACCACATCAATACTTCCTTGCCTCCTGTGAAATGAAAGAAATGCACATGTGGGGACACCACCCACTTTATTAATTGAATGGATCTGATTACACTCTGTTGCTGAGGATGTTCAACTCTTGAACAGTACAGGGTGAATTTTATCCCAGGTCTCTACAAAAGTCTCTATATCTATCTTGTTTTCATAGATTTCAGATATCTCTCCTTAATGTGGAAATCCAGCTGTGGAAATAATTTCTCTGCCCCACTGATACTTCCTTATTTATTATTCCATGGCCATCTCTAGGGCATTGGCCTGGCAGGGTTTCTGTGATTTGTCAATTCTGAATCTCTGTGAGTGAATGTGAACTACTTGCATTTCTGTCAGCACTGACTCCCTCCCTTCTCCAACCCTTGGACACTTCCTAATGTTTCTTTTAGGCACATTCAGGTGCTAAAGCAGAGACAGGGTCACACTCTGAAGCAAAGTCCTGGTGTCTCCTAATACAGGAAAAGACAAGATAATTAACTCTTCATGGAAGTGATACTGGAGGACCTCTGTGGCAGAGCAAAAGAGATCTCAAGAAGGAGAAAAAGACATAGGAAATTTTAAGGAGTTTTAAGAGAGAATCAGAAGAAAATTATGCATGGTAGCAGAACATGGAGCATGTATCAGCCAGGTGATATGTCAGCTGACTGAATCCCAAGAGAGGAGAATACTTCCCTCCATCTTCCTTTCCCTAGCAGAGCCATATTCTTTCTCCCTGTGGTTCCCTAATTGATTGCCTGTTAGCATGTAACAGATGGGGGGGAAAGGACTAAGTGGAAATTTCTCTCACCCTGTCATCAGCTTGGGCTGGCAAGTGAGGTACAAAAATGCTTTTATTCCTTAGAGTGTGAGAGTCAAGTGTGCTGTGGCTGAGGGTGAGCAACTTCAGCTATGGAGCTGAAGGCTGAGCCCAGGGAAGCAGGCAGCAAATAGGTCTGCAGAGTTTGGCTGAGTCAAGAAAATGCACTGCTCCCAGGGCTCTACTGCTGTGGGCATAATATCCAAGTATAGCCCCGGGTGTTTAGGGGAAAAGGATTTAAAGATCATATAAAAGAGAAGGTGAGTGGCAAGAGCATTTCAAAAAGGTGTTTATCCTGCAACTCTATTACATTCAGTAGCTCTTTTAAGCATCTAAGAGAGAAAGTGAAAACACCATCATCCAGGCTGCCTAACACCAATGTAGGCTTTGCAGAAAGCATGCAGATGTGTATGTTGTATAACTGCTTTCCCAGTATCCTAGTACCAAAATCTTGCCATGATTCAGTATGTGGGAGCAGCAGTGACTCAATGGTCTGAGCTCTGAGATGGAGTGATGACCCCAGGATTTCCCAGATGCTCAAGAGATGAAGTAGGTAAATTCATCATCAGGTTTTTGTGGTCTTGGATAAGCCACTTCACTTCTCTGTGCTTGAGTATTGACAGGTGAAAAACTAATGAAGACTATGACAGTACTTACTCTGTCTGCCTTACATATTCATGCTGCCATAAAAGGGGTCTAAATCTGTGCTAGGTTACAAAACTACTGCAGCCCTATTTAGATACCCCTGATCATGAAGCAGAGCTTCACATGAAGTCCCACTTCCAACTAGCATCCCCCCCACCCTGCTACAAATTACCCCATGCCTATTAGGGTTTTTAAAGCTGCATTAACTGACATAAAACCTGCATATCTTTAGGCAAGAGTATCTTTCAATGGCCTTTTGACTCCCTCTGCTGCTCTAGCAGCAGCAGGAAGAAGGGCCATCCAGCTGCAGACCTTCTTTAAGAATGATGACTTTTTTGCAGCTCACTTTCACTTGGCCAGGTGAGGCCAGGTTATCATGGACAAAAAGAGCTGCTGCTTTTCAAATGACTGGGAGAAGATAGACTGAGAGCCAGCATGGACATGGCTGATTATCTCTGAGGTTGCTAATATTGCTGTGTGGGAGTTTTCTGTCAGTAGGATTTTTCAAAAAAAAGTAGAATTTTTATCACGTCAGATTTCCTTAAGAAAAATTTTGATGATAGAAGAAAAAGAAAAGAAGGTAGGAAAATGCAAACCATTTATTCCCTTCTAGCTGAAATTGAATATTTGGTTTTCCTGAGCTAGGACAGGAAGACAAGCTCATCCAACACACCCTTAACCTGTCCCACAGATTATGGGGGAGTGTCACACCTCTGTCCTTTCTTATGTTGTGTTACATTGCCCAAGGATCACAGCCTGGAAACCTGTGTGTCATTTCTACTTTGGAGTATTGGCAGTGCTTGAGACAGAAAAGCGAAAACCTGAAGTGACATGAGAGAACACACTGCTGGGCTGCAGGTCTTTCTCTCTGAACGTGATATTTTGAACCCAGGATTGTACTTCCCATGATTTGAAGCAGTCAGAAATCCTAAACTGACCTGAAGCATTTTCAGTCAGCTAGGCTGACAAAATTTTAATCATGTTTCTCTATCATTGTACTGTTTCATGGGAATATATTCTAGTAGCAGTTTGCATTTACCTCACCTGACTGTGAATATTGTGGAATGTGCAATCTAGTGCAGATAGAAGAGACTCTGAATTTCAGATATGATTGATTGTGCTGCTATTGGTGCTCAAGGGAGGTCTGACTTGAAACAAAAGATTTCATATTAGCTGAATGTAAAGGAATGGGTCTGTTAGATAAAAGACAGTTTGGGGTGTTTATAAAAAAAAAGCTTTTTAAATTTCTGGTCCATGGAAATCCTAACTAATCCTTTCATCCAAATTTAGACAAAGGCAAATACTGGATTGTTTACAGGATAGAAATTCCCAATCAAAATCTATTCCTTCTCTTAATACTTTGCTCAGTAGGTAGAGCATTATGTATCAGTCAAATATATTGTCATTCTCTTTAGTTCAGTAATTGTTACAACTAGTTAGTAGTTTTGCCTACTTTGAATATTGACTAATAACAGTGCTGTGTAACGATATGTGTCCTTTATTATTCAATATACTCATGTATATTCAATGCATCTATTTTTCATCTTTAAATGGTGAAAATGAAGGCTATTTCTAAAATGACCCATTATTATAAAATAAAAGTTCAAAGCTCAGCAAAACATTGGAGATTCAGAGAAAAGAGACACATTTACCATCATCTTCTGTACAGGAAAGTTGTGTGTTAGGCAAAGTGCCTGTGTCTGTGCATTTCCAGCTTGAGTCTTGCAAGCTTCAAACTCAGTGAGTGTAGCAACAGAACTGCTGTGTTGGGATGCCTTTACACCAATAAGGGGCTTAAAAGGTGGATAATGCAGCTCAGAAGACTTGTAGGGATTTATAAAAAGCTTGTAATAAAGTCTTCTAGGGCTTTCTGGTTGTTGTTGTTTCGGTTCTTGGAGTGGCTCCTAGGAAGAAGAGCAGTTGACAGAGGTTTTCCTGAGCAGAAGAGCATTACAATCCCCCCACACAAAGGAGGTTTTGTGTCCCTACAGTGGCAGCCACATCAGCTGGGCACTGTCCTATCCTTCTGTCCTACTCAGAAATGTGCCTGCTATTTTTCAAGTGGGAGTTCACAGTTTTCCAAAAACTTTTAAAGCTTACCCAGGGAAGGTGCAGTATTTCATTATCTAGTGCTTGACTGCTGCTTACTATTCACAGATCTATCACTTGAATTTAAAAAACCATCTCGAGTGCAACCTCATCTCTATTAATCTAGTATTTTCTGTTTGCCTCTGTACATCTGTACAGCGAGCTCTGTGCAGAAGGATTTTTCTGTGGAAGTTCTGTAAAATATTTCTGTGTCTGAAACCCTATAGACAAATTTGTGCCAATAGGGAGCCCCAAAACCCCTATCCTGCATGCTTGTGCAAGCAGGAGGCTGATTTGAGTGAGGTTTTGTGAAATGCCCAAGCCTTCTTTAGTGAGCAGGAGGTAGGTGTGCCACCCTGAGGAGGCAAACAGTGCTGGTGTTACACCTATATGTATCCCGTTTTCCTTGTAGCATCATTTAAATCCTTTGCTTTGAAAGCTGAGGCTTAAAAAATAACCCTTCTTATCTCGTGCAGATCACTGAGAGAGTTGCCTCTAATTTTCATGAAGTACCTCTCCTCACACCAGGGCTTGAGCTGTGATGCCTCAGCTAGAAACACTAATTGAAGTAAATAGCAACGAAGAAGAAACGAGAAAAAGCAAGATGGGCTTTTTTAGCAATCAGATGCTGAAAATTATGTAAGGACTTTCTTAGCTATTTTTATCTAGTCTTTCCAGAGTTTCCTTGCAGAAAGGCTTTCTAGAAAGGTAGAATCAGTTAGCAGAGAGTAGCTTGTGTCACCAGTACTGTACTGATTTCAAGTTCTGTTCCCCTGAGGACCCTATCCCTAATTTAAGTAGGACATGGGTGGGATTTTTCTGTGCTCCCCAAGCTCAGGGAGGCATTCTTGTCTTCCCAGTCCATCTGTTCCAGAGAGGTAGGGTGAATATAATAGGGTCTCTTGAATGACCAAATTTTGGTGTACAATCTTCAGGTGCTCCTGTCATATATGCACTAGGAATTATATTCCAAATTGTTTAACAGCCAGAGGTCTAATTTTGCAGAAAATAGGGTAATTTTGCAGTTCTCCAGCATAAAAACACATGATCTGTCCCTTTGCTGTTTTGTAGCATCTCTCATCTAAGGGCTTTAAAATACAGTTGCACATTAATGAATAAAGACTCACAATCTCTCCAGAAGGTAGGTTTGATGTTCATTTCATTTTGCAGATGAGCAAACTAGGATATAGCAGGGAAGTGATTTGACCTCCAAGGTGATATATGAAGGCTTAGAAGAAATCCAAACTCTGATCTGTTCACCTACTACTTCATTTTTGAAGCCATTTTTAAGGTAAATCTTGTGCCATGGCATCAGTGAGGTTCTACCATTTTTTTCAGATCAAATGTAAATATTTTCTAAGTAAAGGAAATCTCTCTAATAAGCAACAACTCAAAGCAAGGCCTTGTCTATTGAATTATCCCCTTTTTTGCCCCTTCCTTATGGGGCACATAATTTACAGTTCTTGACACACAGAGATTTGACTCACATTTTGTTGTTGCATAGAGAATTGTCCATGTCTGTGTGCACCTTTGTGTGCTGACACTCTTCTGCAGGACTTTGCAGCATCCCCAGCTGCTGCAGTGAAGGGAAGCTCTCTCTGAGGCCCCTGTGCTGGCAGCTGGGCTGGTGGTGTGACTGCCAGCCACTGGAAGGCTGTTGGAATTTCGATGAGTTAATCTCATCACTTTATCACAGGGCACTTACAGAAATTACAGGGAGCTGTGAGCAACTCACTGTGCTGGCAGCCAGCCCCAGGACCCATAAAAGAAATTGAGACACAAAAAAAAAAAAATCCAAGAACTCTGATAAACTTTTGAAAATGACAGGTTTTTTTCTGGTCAAGTTCTGCTTGGGTAATGCTGATTGTGCCTTCCCTAGTGATGCCCCTGCTTTCTGCAGCAATGGCAGACATTACCCCCAGCTCTCAATCTCTGCAGTGCACAGCATCTTTTTGGGCCTGATATAAAACTCCCAGTGCTGAGCCTCCTCTGAGGCTCCTTTAGCAATCATGATCCCAGTGCAGACGTGTGTTTGAGAACTGCTTATTTGAGCTGCACACAGAGCGTGTATGTGGTAACTGGTACCTTCACATCTCTGACACTCTCCCATTTAGTTGTGATGTAGGATTTGTAGACTCTTTCCAGTACTATGCTTGTCAAAGAATCCAGGGAGTAGAGGCATGAGGAAGCCTGGGGATCTGCTTGACACTGTGGAGGGTTGAGCTTCCAGATGAGAGCTGTTACTATCTCCCACTGCTGTAAAGGCTCAGTGCCCTTACTGTAGTATTTCTGTGTTAGGGAGCAAATTTTTGGCTTTTGGACCACAAAACATGAAATCTAGCATCTCTCCAGAGCTCTGATCCTGTCTTTGGTGAGAAAGGTTGGCATTCAAGCAAAGGCAAAACCTCCCCAAGTGAGACTGTGTCTGAGTTTTTTCCCACGTTTGCTCCTGCTCTGTTCCTTCCTGTGTGGGGCACAGCAAGTATCTGATTGTGAGATCAAGGCCACCATACTCATGGGTCTGCAATGTGCTGGAGCTCTGTGTCTAGAACAGGAATTGGTTTATTACCTTGAGATCTAGCTTGAATCTCAATTTCCAGCTCTCTGAGAATGTTGATACATGGCTGGCTATTGAAATTCAGATGCTGCACAATGACGAAATACAGCCTGAATGGAAGCAACTTGTGCAGCACACTGTGCTCTTGCTGACAAACTGCATTTGGGGGCACATGAGCAGTGGTGAGAGGAATGGGGTGGCTGGGCTGAAGCTTAGGAAGAAGTTGCAAGTCTTACAACAAAACAAGCAGCAGGAGGAGGAATGTTTATAGCTAGTTGGCTGACCACCTTTAGGCTTTGGGGGTTGTGTGCTCCTGGAGTTTCACTCAGCATGGGCCAAGAATAATGAGATAAATCAAATGTTGCTTTCTTTCTTTTGATTCTGTACTCTGTTTTTCCACTCAGAAATCCAGGGGGCTTTCCAATAGTTTAGTGAACCCCAAGATCTATTTACCACCCCCAGAGATTGATACGTATCAGATTATTGATCTTTATTTAGAGGAGGGAATGGTCTTGCACAAAACACAAAAATCCATTACAAAAGTAGGAATGAAAATCAAGTCCTGTCCCAGTATTACTAAACTGTAAACTATACTTCTAATCTGATGCTATACAAAGTCCATACTGTGTGTTCTCTTAGCTCTTACCTACACTTCTCCCTACAGGTCTTATTGAACTATCAAACCTCAGTTTCCTACTCTAAATCATTAAACCAGCTTTTCCACCATTCCACTTATGTAGAGATTTGGTACCTTTTTCAGTCCTGCCTGATTTACCAGTAACTAGACTGCCTTAAATGTAGTCATTGTTAATTCATCAGTGCCAAGTTTAGATTTCCAGTCCAGCTCCATGGCAAACATTGCACAGACCTCTTCAGAAACATCAGGTCAAAGTGAATGGCAGGATTGAGACAGCCATTTCTGTTTGTTGTCTTATAGTACTAAATAATTGTTGCCTTACACTGTAATCCAGCATAATTCCACTCACGTCCTTTTATCAGACCCTTGCATCCATACTTTGGTTATATTCTTGGCTTATAATAAAATGTGATGTGATTAGAAATAAATTTGGAGTACTTCTTTCTCATTTTGTCTTACAGGCAGTGTTGAGGGGTGATCATAAATAAAAGGGAATGAGGAAAGTGGGAAGAGGGAAAGAATCCTGTGCAGAGGATGCAAGCAAGTGCACAAGGACTAATAAATTAAAAATGTAAAGATTTGCACAGAGAACCCATGTTTGTTTTTCAGGACGTGTTACCCACCTTTCTCAATGCAGACCTATTGCTTCCCTGCTACCTGCAGTATGCCAGCTGGCAGGAGGAAGCAAAGGAGGAAATGCTGTCTCTGAGCTCCCTGGCTGCCCAAGCAGGACAAGAAACTTGGGCAGGTGACATCCATCCCACAGACATGGAGCAAGGCTGGCAGCAAAGGAAATTCTAGTGATGCCTGAACTGCTCCCACTCTCATTCCTGGACTTCAGGGAGCAGGCCAGGTTTCAAGGGGTGCAGCACAAGGGATGACATGCCTGGAGGACACGTGCCTGAAAGCCCAGCACTGCAGTCATCCCCTTAGCTAGGTCAGCAGGGTACAGGTGGATATGTGTATGTAGATGAATGAGCAAACATGCAACATTTACAGACTGATGGTGGTGGAAATGTCTGGGCACTGCAGCCTGTCCCTGGATCCATGGGGAGAACATGATTCCTGGGTGACCATCTCTGTGTTTGCTTACAGGGAATATTGAATACAGCTGCCCGGCCACCAACGAGTGTGAGATCACAAAACGGAGGCGCAAGTCCTGTCAGGCCTGTCGCTTCATGAAATGCCTCAAAGTGGGGATGCTAAAAGAAGGTAAGAGAGTCAGAATGAAAATTTTTCTCTGTCCTGACAGTGCCTGGGATTGCAGACCTTGCAGAATCTCCCAGGCTAACTACATGCCTGCCCTCTTTGTGTTTCTGAATGTATCTTTCTACAGACTTTGTAAGAGAGTCAGGATGGGCAGTGACCAAGAGGGCAGTCCAGAGAGGAGAGTGGTTCTAGTCAGTGCTTTCATACTCAGTTATTAAATAAGTGGAAGCTGGTGGTGCCAGACTCTTTCTTTTCCCAAAGGAAGCCTGGGCTGGAGGGTGTTTCTCTTCTTGCACTCTAGTAATTTTTTGGTGTTGAGAAGGAGGGGCTCTTTTGTGATCATTACTAGGTTGGCAGCTCTTCATAAGGGAAGGATGGAGTTAATGCAGAGCTGTGGCACAGTGTGCAATGAAAGCTGCCTGTATTACTACTCAGGGGACTTTCTGAAGATGGTTGGTAGCACAGGTTTGTATGGGAGCTGTGGGTCCCCTGCCCTGCATACTCAGCCTGTGTTTTGCTCAGCCTATTGATCTGTTCAGCACTCTTTGAGCAGTGTTCAGATTCTCCTGTGCTGTTTTTCCTCTCACACCCCCCTTTTCAATCTTTGTCCATTCAAGAGGAACCACAGGGAATTCAGTGGCAATTAAACACATTCTTGTGGATTGACTTTAAAGGTTTGTTTCCCTTGGGTCCCTCTGGGAAAGGCAGTGAGGGGAAGAGGGGAAGAAAGGAGCAGCACGGCACATAGCCTCCTGGATCACTATACCAGCAAAGCAAGGTCCTCTCAGCCTAACCACAAGAAACAGCCGCTGCCTGTGGTTATGCATGAGTCCTATATACTGCAGCCAAGATGCCAGCATTCAACTTTCTTCCAGGTCATAATATCACAGCAGCTGGTAATAAAATGTACAATGTCAGTTGAGTATGTATTGCTTCTCACTAGAGCTCTCTCATTTCTTGAGAGGCAGGTTGATGGCAACCAGTGTTGTTAAGAATGTAGATTAGACATTAAACCCATTTTGTTCTTTGATGGATGTGTAGTTTCTGTGGTTAAATATCTTTCTTCTAGAGCATACTAGTTACCACAGGGAGGAGATGCAAGCTTCTGCAGTTCAGCCCTTCCTGACCTAGGTGTAGAGGTGATGGATCTTGATCTCCTACTGGGAGGGAGGCACCTACTTTGTAGTTAGAGACCACTGGAAACCTACTACTCTTCATGCTGGTAGTTCAGGGAAGGGATGTATCCCATTGCCCACTATAGCAAATATACACTGGTGACACTGGCTTTAGGGGGAGTACAGGTTGTTAATGCACTGTAGCCTATTCATATGAATCCCACAAAACAACCTGAGTTGCCTGTAGTGGCTCCAGGCACTCTGCAGAGCAGCAGCACAGGTTCAGGCTTGCTGGCTGCCAGTGTCTGTGCTGTCCTGCTTCTGAACAGTTCAGCCTCCTGGAGCTGGCAGCTGGGGGAACAGTCACAGGAGCCAGTGCTGGTGTGCTGGCTGTGTGGTCAGGGCATCTCTGCTTCCAGTGCTGGGACTTCAGCACTTTTCAGAGCAGGGCTCTGGGAAGGGTTTTATGTCTTGGCCTCCAAGTTCTGTGAAAACAGTTAACTCCTTCCAGACCAGAGTTAGTCTGGAAAGCAGTGTAAATTCACTCACACTATGCTGTGTCTGAACTCCCAAACCCTGTGGGATATTACTTGTGGCAAAATGAAATTTGACTCTATGCCTGCTTTTGTGCTGAAGTGTATTTAGTTATTCATATAGGGATTGATCAGGCATCATTAAAGTCACTGGGGAAGGGTGGTTTGCTATTGATGTTAGTGTATCTGTGATCCTGCCCATAATATTTAGAGCTGTGGAAAATACAGCATAAAGATTTATTGATAGCAATGGGATAGAAGAGCACACAATATCAAGAAGAGCAGAGGAGACTGCCCTAACAATCTGCAAATATGAGTCTTGTGTCCTAACAGAGAGTGGTCAAGTGATGTTGGGCAGGCATCTTTCTTTCTTTCTTTTGCTCAGTATCCCAAGCTGAGAAATAAGGGTCATACTGCTTTGCTTTGCAAAATTATTGTGAGGACCAATTAGTTAACTTTATGTGAAGCTTGGTGGAAGCACAAAGTATTAGTATACAGAATTCAATCAATACACATCTTTAAAAGCCAAATCCAAGAAGGGGAAAAAATGGTGTCACACAATTTGGTCTCCACAGAGCCAAGAGTTTCTAGAAAGAACAAATCCATAATTGTTTGAATTGCTCAAAATGCAGAATTGACAAGGGATTTCAGATTAGAAAAGGTTCACTGGTCTTTTCCATCTCTGATCTGTCATCCTATTAGCTCATCCATCCCTTTGCTCTGCCAAGGCATGAGTGTTCCCAACTGTACCATTCTAGTAGTTTAACTGTTTCTATAAATCCCTGATGTTTTGGTTTCCCCAGAGAGCCTATTCTGCAGTCTCCAAACTCTCATTAGGACAAGATGTCTCTTAATATTTGGCTTATGATTACTATTCCTTTTAATAGATCCCATTCCTACTTTGCCTTGGTGTACCTCTCTTATCATCCCTGGGTTTATGCATAGCAGAAGGTTGCTAAGCCATGTTCTTCGCCCTGCTTGATTATCAAAAATTTGGAGAAAATCAGTCTTTTGGTTAAAGACAAGATCTAGAAATCAGTTCTTCTCTTTTAATTCTTCTCAGTTCTTCTCTTTTCTCCTTGATGTCCTTGGGCAAGCCACTAGGCTTGTAACTCGGTGGAGATGTTTCTGGGTAAAGAAACTGTCCTTTTGCTCAAGAAGAATATGATATTCCATTAGTTACTAGTAAAGGGCTTCATGATTTCTTCTCATTTTCCTGATTATTGTTGCCCTACATGATGTACATGCCACCTCCTGCCTGCTGGGCATGTGGCATTACCTTGTTCTTGAAGCAGAAGGCATCAGTACTCAAAGATGGTAAAAAACAAATAACTATGACTTCAAGATCTGCTTTGCACCTGAAATGCTCAGCTTGATGCTGCAGGAGACTTGGATCTTTCCCTTGAGGACTGCATATAAGGGTTACCAGACATCTATTCTCCCTCCATAGGCTGCAGCTAGGCAGAAAGCTGTGAATGTAGCCCTTTAAGATCCGGGGAGACTGGCCCTGACACAGACGTGCAGGTTATTCAGGCAATGCCGAGTGAATGAGGATCAGGGCAGGAAGAGAGCCAATGGAGCAATCAATAGGTGTCTCAGATATCCAGACCACTTTCTTTAAGAGAGCTCTGATCAATGTATTGCAGCAAGGGAACTGCACAGACACCAGAGCTTTGCTGTCTCAGGTTCTCCTGGTGTGGTGCTGCAGACCAGGCAAGACTCACTGTGGCAAGCAGAAAGCTCTGCCCACAGAGCCCAGCTGGCTCAGATGTCTGAAGTGTTGGCCTGTCTGTCTCTCATTTTCCCTTCCATCTGGAGTGTGCCCCCAGGGAGCATTAATTAGCCCTAGCAGGCTCGTATAGGAACCTGCTGAATCTCAAGTCCAGCATTCCAGCAGACTCCAATCCCAGTGTTCATGAAGGGATGCACTGTCCCCAGAAAATCTGTGCTCTGCTGCTCTTTGCCTTCCTGCACCACCAGCCTGCAGGCAGTGGAGATGGGCATCTTCACAGCTTTGTCCAGTAGAATTGCATGCCCTTCTGCTCTGGAGAAATCAGGGAAACCTGAGTAGCCAGTGATACTGCTCACCCGAAATGAAGAAGCTTCTATGTCTGGTGGGGGGATGGCCAGTGCAGGAAAAGTGTGCCCTGCAACTTGCAGTGGAGAGGCATTGTTCAGAGCTGGGAATCCCGGGGTTTGTCCACCCCATTGCCTCTCATTGCTCCTATCGCTGTCTCCAATTGTGCCTCCAATGACTAAGTGTAGTTCTTTAACTGTGGGCTCTACAGAGTAGATCTAGATCTTCCTGGATTTCTGGAATTATAAACAGAGAAATTTCAGCAGTTTGTCTGCTCAAAGTTCTTTTAAAAACTCAGTATACCTTGTCAGTTTTAGGAAGAATATACCCTTGCCATTCATGCTCTACTCACCCATAACCTTTCTGGTTTTCTTCAAGAGGCAGATGTAATTGCAGATGACACAATGCTTGTGTATGTGGGCTCAGAGGTTTCATTTTGGACATTAGTTGGCTGCTTAGACATGACTTCACAATTTTGCCCTCCACACCTCTGCTGCCTCTCTGAACCTGGGGCATCTCCTCTTCTCTGACTTTGATATCTGTAGGGCTGTTCTTCTGTATTTTCTCATGTCTCTCTCTCAGCTGCTTTTATCCCTTCTTGAATTTGCTATCACAGAAGCACCACCAGCATTGCTGAGCTTTGGGCAGTGGTGGGTCCATTTTGGAGCTGTCTGGAGTGGACATAGGGGCAGTTTCTGATGTCTTCTCACAGAAACCACCCCTGCAGTCTCTTGTTACCAAAACCTTGTCACATAAATGCAATACTGCCCATGAAAGTGAAATGTTCTGAGATCATCAGAAGAGGGATGGGGATAATAAGTGAATTGCAATGAAACATCAAGGCCTCTCATTACAGAACTCATCTTTGGCTGGAAATGACAGACAGGCAAGTAGAGGAGAGACAGTATCAGACATATCAAACCATGACACACCAAAGAGAACAGACTGGCTGTTGTCTGGCTGTTTGGTCCTTTCTCTTGTGGAAGCCCTGCAGTACTTTTTCCTCAAAGGATTGTATTGTTTTTAAAGCTGTGTTGTTCCCTGTTCTATGCTGGCACATCTGCAGAAACCCAAGTGGAGCACAAACAGTTCTGAAAAGGAAGCAAAGGTGGGTCAGGAAATGCTTTTCATGAAGTGCATGCACATGCAATTGTGTCACATCACAGCAGAAAACTACACAGCAAAGAAAATGTCTGTAAAAAAAATCTCATCCAGGCATTGAAATGCCATCGATTGTTGCCCCAGCTTTTGAGTCTTATTTTCCTTCTTAATGGAAGT